GATGGATTGATCTGAATGTCAAAGGCTTGTTCAGAAGACAATGACTAGATCAGTGATTAGACAAGCTGAAAGCTGAAGAAGATAATAAAAATAATATTAATAATAGCATTTATATAGTGCTTTTAAGGTTTGCAGAGTACCTTACAAATATTTCATTTGATCCCTATGGCAATCATGGGTTGATGGGGAATGGGTGCTATTGTTATTCCCACTTTGTGGATGAGGAAACTGAAGCAAACAGAGTTTAAGTGACTTACCCAGCTAGCAGTAGTACATCCATGTAGACAATCTACCTGACATTCCTAAAGACTCTGCTGAGGTCAGGGCCACCTCCATCACAGCCACTGCTACTACTGAGAGGCGCAGCATCCACGGCAGCCGAGGAAGAGGAAGAAGACCAGTTGTTGTAACAAAGGCAAAGCCTTCAACTATTGCAGCATCTATTCTCCATCCACAGGGTGCCATCTTTTGGGAGAAACCAACATTTGGGGAAACCGAGGCTCATACCACAACAAATCTTTACTATTTGGAGATTTTCTTGGAGTAACTCCAGGTGGGCACACGAAGCCAAAAGGGTGAGGGGTGAGGGAAGGGGAATGATCTTTTAGAATCACAGAATTACAGAATATCAGGCTGGCCATGGGTTATATACCTAGATTTTCTTATGTGGGCCTCACAACAGCTCTATGAGGCTGATGCTGCAGATATGGGTAAAGCCCTGGACTTGGGAGTCAGGAAGAGCTGGATTCAAACTCCACCTAAGCCACTTACTAAATGCATGACCCTGGGCAAGTCACTAAAAATCTGCCTGCCATAGTTTCTTCATTTGTAAAATGAGGAGGTTGGACTTCTGGGTCTTTCTTACTTTAAGTACAAGGCTCTATCTACTAGGCCTTACTGCCTCTCTAATAACAATAATAATAATAACAATAATTCACACTTCTAGCATGCTTAAAGGGTTACATCACACTTTGAGGGGCTGTAGTTAAGCAGACATTCTAAGCAATATCCAAGAAAAATGAAAGTTCATCTTGGCCAATGACTCATCTTTGTAAAAGGGCAGCGAGGGAGGTGGCCTCCAAGCCAGGGAGTCCAAGGTTCAAGTCTTACCTTCATTGTGTGTTGGCTAGATGATCTTGGGAAATCCATTTATTTCTCAGTGTCCTTGTCAACTCTCTAAGACTATAAGCAGACGAGCAAACGTGCATTGGGAGAAAGAGATTCCTTACTTGAGACTTCTTGATATCAATGAATTCCCAGGTGCAGTCTCCCTTCCCATCTTCATAGAAGGGCACCAGTAAGAGGCAGCCTCATGTTGAATTGACCATCGACAAAATAGACATTGTATGCTTTGGTATAGGAGGGTCAGCTTACTATGGGCTAGAGGAGTCAGGGAAGACTTTGTGAAGGAGATAAGTCTTGAAGGGGGCATTGAAAGATGGAGGAGACATGACTATTTGATCACTGATAAGCCTATCAGAAACACCATAGAAACTTCCGTGGAGCCAGGGATCCTTAGAGCTGAATACACTTTAGAAACCATATTAGATCCCTCACTCAGAGATCGAGACCTGGAAGGATCCACAGATGCCATGGGGTTTAGCCCCTTCATTTTACAGATGAAGAAACTGAGGCCCATAACAGTTAAGGGACTTGCTTAAAGGTCACACAGACTAGAATCCAGATTGCTTTATTCTGCATCCTGTGTACTTTTTCCTGCCCCTTTACCCCCTCAAGGACCGCACACTGTTAAAAACACAACATCGCCATCCCTGAGGAAAAGACCCAAAACACAATGTCTCTCATTCACAGAGAGGGAATGAGCAAACTGAAGTGTGTGCTCTGCAAAAATAACCAGACAGAAGACATGCCTTTCGCAAATAGTTCCTGGAAATTTCTCGTTTTATCAAGGAATTTGGTCTCTCCAGTTCAGTGCCTAGCAAAAATAGCTGCGGCTTAATCAGGCCCAGATGCGGACATATTCCCTCACCTTCCTTGACTGCATGGATGCATTTCATACTGAATTTCACCTAAGGAATTTTAGACTTTAAAGATAATAATCAAAAACACTTTAAGCTTCCCTTTGAGATCATGGCTGATTTGGGAGATCAAAGATGTCCCATCACTGTGATGAGTTTTGATGGAAAGCTGTGATTTTTTTTAAAACATCCTAACGAAAAGATGAAGCTGGTGCAGGGGGAGCTGCTGCAGCACCCCTTGATCCCCTGCCCTGTTTCTCTCAGGACTTCATCTTCACATATTTTTGCAATTTTTTTTCCCCTCCATCTTCCTTCTTGGTCCCATATTTTCAGCAGCCAGGGCCTTATCCTAACAAAGTTAGGATTCTATTTCAAATACAAGGAAATGGGTGTCCTTGCTGGGTAATTCTTAGCATACCTTGTACATACTTCCTTCGCATATATGGAAAGTATGCAATGTTTCAGTTTTAAACAATGAAGAGTTCCCATAGACGGACTGGTGGCCATTTCATGGGATGGGATGGGCGTCTAGCCCAGTGGAAATTTGTCATCTGTGGTGGCCCCTTTTATTTTTCTGGAGCAGCCAGATTTGGCCTCACTCTGAGGGGCTGAGAAATACCATCACTCTTGACCTTGCTAAGAGTCATGTCTCCCAGGGACTCCATGCTCTTTGGACCCAGGAATAGAGACCAGGCTTCCGGCTTGGGGTCCTGGGCTCTTGTCAAAGGATGGCCTGTTTTTACTCCATGGAATGCTTGGGATCGTCGGCAGGTCACTAGGGATTCTGAAAACCAAAAGAATCCGGAATGGCAGAAATTAGGCCATTGGAATCTCCGCCATTCTTCAGCCTGTCTTTATGTCGTCATTTTTTTTTTTAAAGAAACTAGTCCCTGGAGGAATCTTGAACTCGGAGCCACCACTTTACTGGGAAAAGAGCTAGAGCTCTGCCGTCTGAGGCTGAGGGGTCCAATTCTGACCCCGCCACTTGTTACCTGTGGGACCTTGAGCCCCTCTGGGCCCCTCACCTTCTTCATCAGTAAAATGAGGGCAGTTAGACCCGACAGGGTTTTTTTTAATCTGTAGTCCATGAAAAATTTTAAATATATTTTGATAATTATGTCAGTGTAATTGGTTTCCCTTTGTAAGTCTATGTATTTAATTTCATGCATTTGAGAACTCTGATCCCAGGAGGAGTTCATAGGCTTCACCAGATTGCCAGAGGGAGCCATGATACAAAAAAGGGGAAGAACCCTTGGACCAGACAATTTCTAAGGCTCTTTCCAGCTCCAGATCCCAAGTGATAGAAACATCCCTCAGAGTAGCAACGGGGCATTGGATTTAGAGTGGTGGACACGGAGTCAGCAAGACCTGGGCTCAAATTCCTCCTCAGACCATTACTACGTGACCCTGGGCAAGTTCCTTAAGTTCTCTCAGGCTCAGTTTCGTCATCTGTAAAATGGGGATAGTAAAAGTACCTACCTCCTGGGATTGTTCATCAGATAATTTACATAATTATTTAATAATATAATCATTTATATAATTTAAATAATCATTGATATGATAATATAATCATTTATATAAAGCAGTTTGTAAACCTCGAAGTGGTATATATATATAGGTCAGCTATTATTATTATCATTATTATTCATTATTATTATCTATCTCAGGGAGGTATGTTTGTTGCCATTCAGTCGTATGTGACTCTTTGAGACCCAATTTGGGCTTTTCTTGGCAAAGATACTGGAATGGTTCACATTTCCTTCTCCAGCTCATTCACTGAGGCAAACCGGGTGAAGTGACTTACCCAGGGTCACACAGCTAGTAAGTGTCAGAGGCCAGATTTGAACTCATGAAGTTGAGTCTTCTAGACTCCAGTCCCAGTGCTCTATGGCGCCACCTAGCTGCCTGTCATTGAGATATGAGAACTATTATTTCTCTAGGTAACTAAGAAGTCATTACCCATTTGCTTCAAGACAGCCACTTTTCCCATTACGAAACTATGGTGTTTAAATTATTTTGCTTACATAATCAGAAAGCCTCGAAAGCTTGACCTAGTTAATAATAGTCAACATTTAGAGAGGTTCATAGATTTAGGGGGCAGAATGGATAAAGCTCCAGGCCTGGAGTCAGGAACACCTGAGTTCAAATCTGGCCCTAGACACTTACTAGCTTTGTGACCCTGGGCAAGTCACTTGACCCTGTTTGCCTCAGTTTCCTCATCTGTAAAATGGAATAATAATAATAGCGCCTACCTCTCAAGTGCGATGATCAAATGGGATAATAATTGTAAAGCACTTAGCACAGGTCCTGGCACGTGGTAAGCATTACATAAATGTTAGCTATTACTATTTTTTAAAGCTGAAAGGGATTGTAGAGGTCAGTGAGTCCAACCCTCTCATCTTACAGGTGGAGAAACTGAGGCCCAGAGAGGTTATATGGGTTGCCTGGGAAAGCACAGCCAGGATTAAAATTCAGGTCTTCCTGACTCCATGCTTAGCGGTTTGGCCTTACTTTGGACAAACCTCTTAACTTTGGGTCTCACAGAAGTCCTTTTTTTCTCCTCTCACCACTTCCTCGAAGTCTTTTGCATTTATTTCATATATATGTTGTCCTTACTCCTCTCTGTCCATGTCTCCCTTCCTCCCCTGTTAGAATGGAAGCTTCGTAAGGACAAGGATTGTTTCACTTTTTGTCTCTGTGCCTAATAACATCTGTTGAGTTTTTCTGGTTGAACTGAATTGGATTAAGCCTTCTGTGTAAAAAGGGCTTAGGGTTCATGACCCATTAGGTCCCTTCCCATTAAAAATAATGTAAAGTTTCAATGTCTGTGTACACATTTAGAACAGATGCCCAAAGCCAGCCTGAGTTACTTCAGCTGGTGGGGCAGCTGCAGGCTCGTAAAGATCAGAAGGCCTTAAAAGGCTGAAAAATGCTGCCTGGCTCTGGGCTCTCCAGATAAGGGGCTAAAGGCCAGGCTCTTGTCTTCCCTAAGCAGCCCGCACTTAGCTGATTACAGTGGAAACCGTGCTGTGTTGGGAAATACGGGACCAGGTCTGGGCTCCCTGTAATGGTCCTTAGTCACTGAATCGATGAAAATTACTACATGCTAGACCATGGTGGAACTTGAGTCTCAAAGAATTAGGACAAAGATGAAACAGTTCCTGCCCTCAAGGGGTTTCCATTCTATCAGGGAAAACAACACATACACATATTAAGGATATAAAAAGGTATTGTTTTTGGTTTTGTGGGGAAGGGGATTGGTGGGGAAGAGGAGCGCTGGCCACTGTGGAATTCAAGAAAGGTTGCAAATAGATGGTGGAACTTCAGGGAAGTCTTCAGGAGTCAAGATTCTCAGGTAGAGGTGTGGAGTGAGAACGTTCTAGGTATAGGGGACAGAGAGATGGACAGAGACACAGAGATAGAGTTAGATAGAGACAGACAGACAGACAGAAGAGAGGAGAGATAGGCAGAGGCAGAGAGACCGAGAAGGACAGAGAGGGACAAAGGCAGAGACAGAGGGAAAACAGAGGAGACAGAGACAGAGACAGAGAGAGAGGAAGTGGAGAAGAGAGAGAGAGAGAGGAGAGACAGGGACAGATAGATAGATATAGATAGATAGATAGATAGATAGATAGATAGATAGATAGATAGATATAGATATGGATAGAGAGAGGGAGAAGAGACAAAGAGAAAGGAAGTGGAGAAGAGAGAGAGACAGAGAGGAGAGAGAGAGAGAGAGAGAGAGAGAGAGAGAGAGAGAGAGAGAGAGAGAGAGACAGAGACAGAGACAGAGAGACAGAGGTATTGTGTTTGAGAAACTGCAGAATGGGCAATTTGACTGGACCCTAGAGGGTGGGAGGGAGTGGGATATATAAAAATGCTGGAAAGGTAAGCTTCGGCTGGGTTATAAAGGAATTTAAAGATGAGAAAAGAGTTTAAATTCAATCCTAGAGGCAACAGGAACCAGTGAAGTTGACTGAGTAGAGAAGCAATATAGTCATACCTACTTAATGCCTTTATGACTCCCTCCTAGGAACTGCTATGAGGTGGGGGACAGACACTGCACAGGCATTTATTAAGTACCTACTGTGTACCAGACACTTTGCTAAGCGCTTTACAAATTTTATCTCACATCATCCTTGCAACAAGCTTGTGAGGTTGGTACTATTATTATCCCCATTTTACAGTTAAGGCAAATGGAGGTTAAGTAATGCCTAGGGTCACACAGCTAGTAAGGGTCTGAGTCTGGATTGGAACTCAGTTCTTCCTGACTCCAGGCCCAGCATTCTGTCCACTGTGATGCCACCTCATTTCCTCCAGTTAAATGAGATTGCTCCCTCGGGGAGGGAGTTAAAAGCCAAATCTTTTCGGAGGTTTGGGGAAGAGAAAATCTGAAATCTTGCAGCTGTGTGCAATTCCGAGGTGCTGAGAGATTTTAAGACCTGGGCTCCTGCCCTGCCACGGCCACGTATTGGCTGTGGGATCCTGTGACTGTTATTTATCCTCTACTGAGCATCAGATGATTCTCTGAGACTGTAAATGACAGGAAAGGTGCCAATCTGTATTGGTAGAAGATGTTTCCTCATGTGGAAGTTCTTTATACCACTAGAATCACAGATTGAATCCCTAATCCCATCCCAAATCCAGTATTTGCTTATCAGATCTTTGGATCAGAAGTCAGGAGACCTGGGTTCAAATCCTGAATCAGAGACTTGTTAGCTATGTGACACTGGGCAAGTCACTTACCCTCTCAGTGCCTCAGTTTCCTCACCTGTACAAAGAAGGTGTTGACTTGATGACCTCTGAGTTTCCTTCTTATCCTTAAATCAATGATCCTGTATCTACCCAGAGGCCAGGGAGGGTTTCACTTTTGACTTGGTATCCTTAGAACCCAACACAATGCCTGGCACATCGTAGGCACTTAACTAACATTAATCACAGTTAGCATCTTTAAGGTTTGCAAAGGGCTTTATCTAACCCATATTATCTCATTTCATCCTCTCAAGGAAAAGTTAAGTGACTTGTCTAGGGTCACACAGCTGGTAAATGTCAGACGTGGGATTTGAACTCCCATCATGCTACCAAGTACTAAGTAGTTTAACTATTCACTGATTGATTTCGATGGCTGATTCTCCCTTTCCTCATTCATTAGACTGGCAACTTCACACACTGAGGGCTGACTTCCTTAGGGCTGCTCAATCCTATCAGGAGAGTGCTTTGATATTTCTAATACTCCAGAAGAATTAATTAACAGCTGGGAGGAGCTGTGTAGTACTTGGCTTCCCAGCTGTTCCTGGACACCCCCCTCCAACCTTGTCAACATCAGGGTCTAATAACTGGGTGGTTGTAGGGAGGAAAGGGAATTAATCACTTCTCCATTCAGAGGGATTAAGATGTTTAACCCCCTTTTACATTAATCCCTGAAAATCCCTGCAAATAGAGAATTAGAAATTCCCCATATGGGAGGGAAGAATAGGAGCTGGTTATCTCATGCCTTCATAATTTTAAAAAGCCCAATACTACAGTAGCCATTATGATAGGAAGAAGAGGGGTAGACACCACACATACTGTCTCCTCATTCTATTTGCAGTTCTTTCTTTAAAAAAGTTTGCAATCTTTGGAGGAATCTTTGAGTATATATGAAATTAACACGTAACTTCATATTCATACTTTTAAAGAATTAAAGTGATAATTAACATAATTTCTTAGGGAAATGCATACACTTTTTTTTTTTTGGTGGGAGGAAACCCTCTTCTGTGTAGGGAACTATCAGTGTAAAAATTCTTCCCTTGGTGCAGATGGACAACTGGTCTGTAATTTATATCTTAAAAGCAGCAATTCTTAACTTTTTTTCTTCTTTTTTTAATCCTGCCCCGTTGGCAGTTTGGTGGGATTTATGGACATCTTCTCACAATCATATTTATTGCCATGTTGTTACTTTTCTCCATCCAAGTTCACAGATTCCTTGAAATTTCTCTATAGTTGAGTGCAGGTTAAGAATCCATGCTTTAGAGCATTATCTGGGGCATCGTGAAGTCAAATCAGCTAGTCGGTCAGTAAACATTTATTAAATGCCTACTATGTGCCAGGAACTGTGCTAAGCACTGGAGATAGAAAGAAAGGTAGAGGACAGTCCCTGCCCTCAAGGAGCTTACAGTCTAAAGTGGGAGACAACATGCAGACAACTATGTAGAAATAAGTTGTATAAAGGATACGTCAGAGATAATGAACAGACGGAAGGGGCTAGAGCTGAGAAGGATTGGGAAAGGTTTCCTGTAGAAGGTGAGATCTTAGCTGGACTTGAAGGAAGTCAGGGAAGCCAGGAGGCACTGATGAGGAGGGGGAACACCCTTTTCACATGATCTACTCCATATCAGTATCAGTAGGACTTGTGGGGCAACCAGGTGGCACAGTGGATAGACCACCAGCCCTAAAGTCAGGAGGACTTGAGTTCAAAATCCAGTCTCAGACCAAACACTTGACACTTACTAGCTGTGTGACCCTGGACAAGTCACTTAACCCCAATTGCCTAAAAAAAAAGAGTTCAAATCCAGCATCAGACACTTACTAGCTGTGTGACCCTGAGTAAGTCATTTCACCTTGTTTGCCTCAGTTTCCTCATCTGTAAAATGGGCTGGAGAAGGAAATAGCAAACCCCTCCAGTATCTTTGCCAAGAAAACCCCAAATGAGGTCACAAAGAGTCTGAAACAACTTAACAACTATCTATCATTTTTATCATCTATCTATAGCGGTGTCATCTATAGATACACACACATGCATTTATGTACAGGTGTGTATATTCATATTTATACTACATAACCCTGAGACCAAGACAGCTGATTTCCATGGGCTGGGCCAGCTGACTCATGTGGGACCAGAATGAAAGCTAGGCATGCTGCAAGCAGAAGTGTGAATGATGGAGGGAAGGAGGAGAGAGGGAGAAGGCTAGGGAAGAGAAAAGAAGGGAAGAGAAGAGAAGAGAAGAGAAGAGAAGAGAAGAGAAGAGAAGAGAAGAGAAGAGAAGAGAAGAGAAGAGAAGAGAAGAGAAGAGAGGAGGAGGAGAGGAGAGAGAAAGAGAGTGAGAGAGAGAGAGAGAGAGAGAGAGAGAGAGAGAGGGAGAGACAGAGAGACGGAGAGACAGAGAGACAGAGAGACAGAGAAAGACACGGGGGGGGGGGTTTCCTGTAATCCAGACAACTTCCTATTAAAAAGTAGCCTTGGCTCCAAAGAATAACTGGTCCTAAGCCAACTCAAGGTGCCCTTTTGGTCTCTGGCATCTATGCGGAATCCTGATTTTAGCATCAATCCTCACTGGCAAAGAAAGCATTTTCCTAAGAGATGGCTTCTGCATTCTGTTCATTGCATTGGCATTCTCCACCCCCGAGGCGCTAGGCGGTGGAGTGAAAAGAGTGTTGGACCTGGAGTCTAGAGAGACTTGACCTTAAATCCTTCCCCAAATACTAGCTCTGTAATTATGGAAAAGTTGTTTGATTTCTCTAAATCTCAGTTTGCTTATCTGTAAAATGGGGATAATAAAACCTGTGGAAGGTATTTCTAGGAGTTAGGGAGGATCCAATGAGATGGTTCAATTCAATTAAATAAACATTCATTAAACACTTATGTGCTAGAAGTACAAAGAAGAAAAAAAGTGAGCATTTATTCTACCGGGACAGCTACAACTTGTCCTTAGGTAAATAAATACCAGGCAATTTTGAGAGAGAGCATTAATCTCTAGGGAGATCTGGGAATGGTTCATAGAGCTCCCAAGCCCTGAGCAGAGCCTTGAAGGAGTCAGACTCTGAGGGGCTGAGATGGGCAGAGAGAGCATTCCAGGACTGGGTGAGGGCGGCAGCTCATCCAGATGGCCAGAGGGTAGGCAGCGACCCACGCGTCAGGGGAGATGAGTCCACTCTGGCCCGAAGATACAACGTGTGAAGGGATTAATGAAAAGCTCTGTACAGATGTTCACTGTTATTGTTGTTTCTAAGTAGTACAATTCAGTGGAAATGATAATAATTCCATCGTAAATGAATGGATCATATTTTTATAGTGCTGGAAAGGTTTACAAACTGTTTTCCTCACTATGGCCCTTTGAGGTAGGGAGTACAAGTTTTATCATTGTCATCATCATCATCACCATCATCCTCATCCTCATCCTCATCCTCCTCATCCTCCTCATCACCATCACCATCATCATCATCACAAGATTATTGCAAGTAAAGCACT